CACAAGGCTACTTAGATTACACAACATCAAATTGACAAAATAATGGCAAAAATGACAGAGGAATGAGTGCAAACATGGATCTTCAGTATGCTTTGGTTATGAACATGCACAATCGACTGGGTTTGTAACAACACTGGAAATGCAAAGTTCATTTAAAGGACCACTATAGGCACCTAGACCACTTCAGCTCAATGAAGTGGTCTGAGTGCCAGGTCCCCCTAGTTTTAACTCTGCAGCTGAAAACATAGCAGTTTCAGAGAAACTGCTATGTTTACACTTCAGGGTTAATCCAGCCTCTAGTGGCTGTCTCCCTGACATCCACTAAAGGCCGCTTCCGCAATTCACACGGAGTAAATCGCACTTATTTGACACTGGACATCCTCACGGAGTCCAGTGTCAAAAAAGATCCCCATTGGAAAGCATTGAGTAATGCTTTCCTATGGGCGGGTTTGAATGCGCACAAGCCTCTGGCTACGCATGTGCATTCGGCTCCACTCGGAAGCTGACGTCGATGAAAGAGGAGTGGCCACTAGTGCCCGGCGCTGGATTAAGATAAGCAAAGAAATGGTTAATTAACCCTTTATTTGCCGGGGAACATGGGCCCTAGTCACCTAAATGGTGACTAGGGCTCTATACATATATTCCTAACACTATAGTGTTCCTTTAATTTTTTTGGTTGTCTCTGTAACTGTCCTATACATTATTTTATGAATTTATGCCTTTTATGACTGATGAAGTACTTAACTATTTTTAAACCCAGGTAACGTGCCTGTTTAAAAATACATTGTAGAAAATAAACATAATAAATCTCGTATCAATGCTTTGCAGGTTGGATTTGATGCAGTCAGAGTATTTAACAAGAGAAACAAAGCAGAGCGGAAGATACGAAAACTTATGAATCAAAGACAGTTAACAGCAACAATGGTAAATACAGGATTCACAAATGTATTTAAGTTAGCCAGAGTTAAACTAAGATAATGGTATTAAAATATATTGGTTATTTCACAGAATTAATATGCTAAAAAAAAGATGAATGTATGAGAGAGCACAGCAGACTATTGACCAGTATATCCTGAATGTATATCATCAAGAAGGAAAACCTGCAAATTGCAAACTTTGAAATCCGTTCTACTGTTTAATTTTTTTCTTTTTTTTTAAAACAACATACATGAAAAAATAGGGTTAATGTCAATGCTGGAATGTCCTTTTTCCTAGTTCTACTTGCTAACTAAGATCTTGCTAGACTAGTCTAGCTACCCAACATCTGTTTTGTTAATTATCAGTCAGTAAATAAAATGTATAAGCTTTTAAAAGCTACTTTATATATACATGTTGTAAAATATATATTGATTAACTACTGTTACAGAGCAAGAATTTAAAATATATACCTTTTGTTTGTTTAACTAAAGGTCAATGCTTTAAAAAAAATCATATATTGTCTGACGTTTTCATCTTGAGCTAAGCTCTTGCTATTTTACTGTGAGATCATGAGTGGGGAATTGTAGTTGCTTAAAACCTCTGGTGAATATAAAACCTTTCTTTCAAAAAACTAGAGATTTAAATTTTTCATAGCTACTGACACAGTAGATATGTAACTAGAAACACCAGGCCCTGGTGCGAAATCTGCTCTGCCCCCCATCCCCTCCTGTGTCTCCTCCACCCCAGTCACTCCATGCGTCTCATTCCCTCCCATGCCAATCCCTCCACTTGTCTCATCCCCCCGCCAGCCCATTCACGTGTCTCATTGCCCGCCCTGCCAGCCCCTCCACATGTTTCACTCCCAACCCAGCCCACATTTTTAATGCATGATTTAGTGTTAATAAATGGAGACCAGTTTGTGTGGTTTAATATAAGAAAAGTGACTCCACACAAAAGTCACATCACACAAAAACAAAAGTTTTAGATTTTAGAAAAACAGACTTTTCTAAAATTAGAATATTCTTCCAGGAGAAAAAGGATTATTTAAAAGTTGCACTACTGAAAGCAACAGAAAATTCCATTAAGCTTGTCAGGAAAAACAGAAAAATGAAGAAACCACTGTGGTAATCTGCAGAAGTGACCAAAATAGTAAAAAACAAAGTTACATTTAGTATTTAGTAATTATTAAAAAAAAACAGAGTGAGGAAGACAGACAGATCTATAAGATTAGGCAGAAAGAGGCAAAGCAAGTTATAAGAGCCTCCAAAGCACACACAGAAGAGAGAATAGCACAGTCAGTAGAATTTACAGATTAAAATGAAGGAGAGGGACTTCAGTTAAGAAAAAGGACAAATCGATCATTTGTTACATGTGAATTTACAGAGTGTGACAGAAAGCAAGGAATTGTGCTGGAAGGAACCTATATACCTCCCCAGATTTTGCAAGGTTCTTACTTTGTGTAATTAGCCCCAGGGAAATGTGTTATGTTCTAATGAATGTTGCACTTTAAATATGTGTATATTTGGGCCCTGGGGTGGAGCACCTGGAGAGTAGGGTGGGCCAGTGCTCCACTCCACATTTTGGAAGTTGCTTGGTGAGAAGTCCAGTTCTGGAGTTTGAATCCTAATCTAACTCACCTGAAAAAGGTTTGTCAATTACCAGTGCTATTAAGTACTCCCCTGCCAAGGAAGAAGGGAGATTGTGTTTGGTTTCTGTGAGTGGAAACAGAGAGCTGAAAACCCTGAAGCAGTAAGGCTGTTTATGTTTATGTTGGGAAATGGACAAGCCATCCAACCCAGTTAGCTGATTATTTTGTTTAGTTAGTGCTCAGAAGAGCAAGGCTTTTGTTTGATATATTTTTGTTACCTTTATACCTTACTGTTCATTTATTTTGGAACCTCAATAAAAGAGCAAGTCAGTTTACCTCATCCAGCGTGTGAAGTGTCTCTAAAGCCTGAAAAGACTGTGTGTAACACCCCGATCCCAGGACAAGGTACCAAGGGAAAGGAGTACTTTTGTCACAAGAGGAAGAAGTTCTATTTTAACTGTCAAAAGTAAAGACAAATAAGTCGGTGGGGCCTGATGGGATACACGCAAAGTTATTAAAGCTTAGTGGTGTACTAGCAAAACAATTTACCAATCATTGTTAACAGGAGTAGTCCCAGAAGATTGGAAATTAGCAAATGTTGTACCCATTCACCAGAAAGGTAGTAGGGGACTTCAGTAGTGGGGAAAGTGAAGGAAACCATGTTAAAGGACAGAATTGTTGAACATCTAAAATCACATGGATTTCAAGATCAGAGACAACTTGGGTTTACATAAAGGAAATCATGCCAAACTAATCATATTTTTTTTTTGATTGGGTAATTAAAATAACAGCCTTCCAGCTGAAGTGGTAGATGTTAACACAGTGAGGGAGTTCAAGCATGCATGGGATAGGCATAAGGCTATCCTAGACTTAAGATAAGGCCAGGGACTAATTAAAATTATTTTGAAAATTGGGCAGACTAGATGGGCTGAATGGTTCTTATCTGCCGTCACATTCTATGTTTCTATGTGTTTTTTTTTGTTTATTTCATTCTAGTATGTCCATGACATCAGTGTGTGTATGCAGGGACATATTTGTATTGAAGGTCTGTATGTGTGTGTAAATGCAAGGCCATATTAGCATTGAGTTAGTGTGTGAACCCATTTTTTCATGTGTGAAACATCAGTGTCTGTGTGAACCCAGGGCATGTAGTGGGTATTAGTGCTGTAGTGGGACAAGGATAATAGGGGCTATAGTGGAGGGCAGGGGGTAGTGGAAGCTATTTAAGCTTCAGGGGAGGAATAGGGGCTGTAGTAGGTGCAGAGAGCCATGGAGGCTGCAGGGAGTAATAGGGGCTTTAGTAGATGCAAGGGATAATAGGGGCTGTAATGGGTGCAAGGTATAATAGGGGTTGTAGTGGGTGTAGGGGATATAGGAGTTGTAGTGGGTGTAGGGGATATAGGGGTTGCAGTGGGTAATAGGGATTGTAGTGGGTAATAGGTGCTTTGGGGGTGCAGGGGATAATATGGGTTGTAGTTGGTAATAGGGATTGCAATGGGTAATAGGGGCTTTGGGGATGCAGGGGGTGATAGGGGATGTAGTGGGAGTAGGGAATATAGGGGTTGTAGTGGGTAATATAGGCTTTAGGGGATGCAGTGTGTAATTGTGGCTGTAGTGAGTAATAGGTCTTGTAGCATGTGTAGAGAGTTATAGGGGTTGAGTATGTGTAGGGGTAATAACAGTTGTAGCATGTGTAGGGGGTAATTGGGGTTGTAGTGGATGTAGGGGATTGATGGGTACAGGGGGATATAGAGATGGGAGCTGTGTTAGGGCAGCCTTAAATTAAAATAATGTATCCCCCCTCCCTGAGCCCTACCTTTGTCCAGGGAGGGATTAGTCTTTATCCCTTGTGAGTGCAGACAGTCCAATCTCCTCCTCGGCATGCAAGTGTGACGAAGAAATCCCTCCCTGGTTGGCCATGGAATTGCGGAGCAAGCTGCATGTAACACTGATAGAGCAGCTCCTCACGGAGCTTCCTTGATTAGTAACAGGCAGTCTGCATGCTGTGTTCACGGCAGAGACTCTGCTCCCAGCCACAAGTCGCATATTGCACTACACAGGCACAGTGAAAGGCAGCCCATTGGGTCTTTGATAAGGCCTCTTGGCTGTCTCTAAGTGTGCTACACAGAGGAGACCCTGCTGCCTATAAATATAGCACAGCTGACCAAGGGGGGAACATGTTTAGCAACAGGGGCCCACAGAAGGTCGTGTGGCCCCCTCACTGAGTGTAGGCCCCCTCCCCAGCTACCATTTACTCCACCGTTCCACAGACGGGCCCCCAGAGCATCGGGCCCTCTGTCCATGACGCATTTGCTGGCTGCTCAGAGACACATGGAGGGGCTGGGGGTTGGGTGAGACACGTGGAGGGGTTGGGAGAGGTTGGGTGGTGGAAAATAAACTTTGGGCATGGGCAGCTACCATTTACTCCACCATAGCAAAGACGGGCCCCCAGAGCATCGGGCCCTCTGTCCATGACGCATTTGCTGGCTGCTCAGAGACACATGGAGGGGCTGGGGGTTGGGTGAGACACGTTGAGGGGTTGGGGGGTGGAAAATAAACTTTGGACATGGGCAGAGGTCCTCTGCCCATGCCCAAAGTTTATTTTCCACCCCCCAACCTCTCCCAACCCCTCCACGTGTCTCACCCAACCCCCAGCCCCTCCATGTGTCTCTCCCACCCACGTGTGTGAAAGACACACACACACTGACAGACACACACTCACACATTTTTGCACACTCTCACAAATGAATTTTACTTTGGGAGAGCTGGTCTGGGTCCTCTCCCTGGAGTCCAGTATGGGATTGTACAAACGCTGATTTGGTGGGGTCCTTGGTGGGCCCCCTGTGACAGGTCTCCCTTCGACGCCTCCACCTTCTGGCAGCTCACTGTTGCAGGGGTCAGCAACTGAGTGACGGGCCCGGCCTTGGCTGAAACCCCTGCGACCATGGTAGATTTCCCACTGGACACAGCATAGTATATCAATCCCTGTCTCCACTAAAGTGGAGAGGTCATCTTCACCTATGGAAGAACGCTTTATCTTAGCTTAAAGGGAAGAAATACTTCCAGAAAAACAAACTGGGAATTGGATCTTCTCCCTGCAGTCTTCCAGTTTCTCTTATTTGCTCCCTTGTGCGCAGGAAAACTGAATGAACATGTACATGTGCTGGCATTACATGTTTACTAGATTTAAATGGTCTGTTTGACTGTTGGAGAGTATAACACCCATTAGTGAGGGACTATATAATTTTTACTCAGTTCACAAGTCTTACAGCCACATAGATACCTTCTTAGTAGATACATGGCTAAGATTGCAGCATGGTAATAACATGGCTGCATTACAAACTTGTAACATTGGTGATATGGTCTGATTATGGACTTGTGACAGTGCAGTTGTCTAATGTTTTCTAATTTAAAGGACGGGGTACCTGGACACTGAATGAATCACTACTCTTAGATTTTGTCTTTGTTAATTGTCTTCGAGAGACTATTTAAAGTTACTTTCAGATAAATTATACTGAAGAATTTATGAATACTACATTGTGGTCCACCCACAAGTCAATTATGAGAGCTGTTTTATTCAACAATAGACTCACATAGAGAAAAGAAAAAGGAAGAGTGGTTGAAGTAGACCCCAAACCAAGCTGTTAGATTGCTACTTCAAACTAGTCCAAGTCTCAGTGAGACAGTAAGTAGATCCATCCCCAGAGTTGACTTCAGAGCTGAATTCCTTATGAAAGCACATTATAGCTATTGTCGGGAAATACTGGGATCCTACACGCAGAGTGTAATAGAAAAGTAACGTTTACCGAACCTTAGAATGGCTGGGTTGGCGTCACAAGGACAGAGATTAAACAGGTACAAACCGAGGTCAGGGGACCCAGAAATCAAGAACAACGAGGGTACACAAGCCGAGTCAAAGGGTAATAGAAAGAAGGGTAGTCAAACAAGCCAAAAGTCAAAACCAAGAATACAATACTAGAGTACAACACGCTATTGGGACTATAAGAACTACAAAAGGGCAATGAGTCATGTCCAGCAGTTCCCTTTTATACTGTGTTCTTTAAATTGGTATCTACGTCCCCAAAATGTTCTAATTCGAACGTTTTGGCAGGCCGTGACGTCATCAACATCATGACATTGGCATGCAAGCACCGCGTCATAAAAAGGGGCGGGGCTATCGCTGCTGGCGCGAGAATTGCTGGGAACCTTAGGAGAACTTCTAGACAGATTCCCCACCTCCTATAAGATGGCATCACTGTGTGGCACAGCCTGTGCCCACACATAAGATACCCTGACAGCTATTAATGATGAGAAAACAAATTATTAATTGCACAAATTGAAAGTCTCTTATTACCAAGCCAGTGGTAAAGCTGGTAAACTTCTGTGTCAAATGCTTGAGGCCCAAAAAACATGTAAGCGCATAGCTTGTATAGAAGGCCACAATTGCTCCACATATGTTGATCCACAGCTAATCACACAGATATTTTCTACTTTTTACTCCCAATTGTGCAATTTGAGGGAATATCCTCATTTTCGGGAACCAAATGCAACAGACATTACCTATCTAAACTAATTCTGACAAACTTATCACACTAACCCCAACAAACTGACCCCATTACTCTGGAGGAACTCCTCCAGATCATTAAACAACTGCCCAAAGCGAAATCTCCTGGCCGAGATAGCTTTTCCGCTGATATGGTAACATTTATTTAATGTAACAAAAACTGAGGATATCCCTGAAACTTTTGCAGGTCCTGGTCACTTTAGGTTATTACCATGCTGCAATCTTAGCATCCACCTTTCCACATTGGAGCTTTACAGAAACATTCAGTTTACTCAGCAAAAAAGCACCTAGAGCCACATACCATAACTCATATTCTTTGACATAGTCTGCATGTTTACCAAAAGCATTATCTCTACCTGCACTGCCATAACAGATACCCTCACATATAACCACAGACCATGGTGTTTAGCTGTTTTCACAAATATACCAGCTCATGCACAATGAGAATCTTATACTATTCCAGGAGCTGAAAGATATGTACAACTTAACTGATAGTTCATATTATGAATAGCTTCAACTTCACTCATTCTTTCCCCATTTCAAAAGACAGGGTAAATTTGGAAGCACCCAGTTTCCCTTGTTAGCATGACTTGAGCGTATTTATGTTGCTAATGGCTGTAAACCAAGTTGTAATCAAGTTATAAACCGTTCCCCACGGGCTACCATATTATCTCCAATAATACACCCTTTTCTAGCTCTTGCAATGCTCAGAATTGTGAGCCATACTTGAATTGTGCTATCTCTTCTGCTCAATGATCCCGGTTATATTCTATTTAGAAGGCGTTACTTCCTTCATCTGCATATTTTGAACAGCACAGGGAATTTTTTTATAGATGGTATATGGTTCCTTCTAGACTTCATAAAATATTTCCAAACACTTCAGCAATGTGGTGGCGCTGTGGATAAAGGGAGGACACAACGTGCCATATATGGTGGAGCTGCTCTATGGAGTAGACCTTACCCAATTAAATTCTCTACTTTTAGCTTTTTCCATTACATACTCCTGAGCAATTACAAATCTTATTCTACATATTTTCCTTACAGCACAGCAGCAGATTGCTCAGGCATGGGAATCTACCTCCCATCACTCTTTTAGAGAGTATTAGGCTCTCTGAACAAGCAATATATTTATGAAACACAATTTACTACAATATTTCCACCTAATTCATCATTTCTCAAAGATTCGTGCATGATAATAAAAGATGATACTATGTCGGTTTGTTTATTTGAATGTTGCCACATGCTCGAGCGAATAAAGATCAACCAATATTCTTACCTTAACTGTACTTTGCTAAATTATCTCTTATATACCCAATATCTAAGGGATGAATATTAAAGGTACACTTTAGTGTTAACAATACAAAATCCGACGGTGGGGACCTAATAATCATGCACGGCGATCATGTCTCAATGATTTCCTATGGGGTTTTCTCTGGTGCTGGATGTCCTCATGCAGAGCGTGAGAATGTCCAGCGTCATTTCACAGAATCAAACTCTGTGAAATTCCAGGAAGCACCTCTAGTGGCAGTCTGGTAGTGTAAGCCACTAGAACAGGGGTTCTCAACGTTAGTCCTCAGGACCCCCTACCAGTCCAGGGTTTAGGGATTACCTGGGTGTGTCTAAGGTGTTTAGAAAAAGAAAAAAAAACACCTTAGAGTCTAAGGTGTTTTTTTCCCTTTTTCTAAACACCTGAGACACACCCAGGTAATCCCCAAATCCTGGACTGGTAGGGGGTCCTGAGGACTGGGTTGAGAACCCCTGCACTAGAAGCAGTCTTTGTACTGCAATGTAAAAATTGAAATTTTTCTAAAACTGCAGTGTTTTACATTGCAAGAGTAGGGGGTCAGGAACATTCCACCCAGACCACTTTAATGAGATAAAATTGTCTGGGCGCCTGTAGTATCCCTCTAAGTAACATATATTGCTCTATCAGGTGTTCAACGTGTCATGTGAAATTCTTTGAGACAAAATGGGCCCTGCGTGGCACATACTTGCATTATTGTATGTTCATTGACTAGAATGTAACTCATGTTGCACTATCCTGCTTGACCCCTTTCAATTGCCTCCCTCTTTTAATCTCTATACCCCACTCCCTTATTAAAAAATGCATATACATGCAAATGTTAAAAATAGTCCCTATAATAAAATAAAGACCTTGAAAATAATTTTAATAATGACTATTTAAAGCCTAGATTGGACATTTTATTTCTTCAATGCTATTTCTCTGAGCAGAAAAGTCAATGTAAAAAACACCAAAGTATTGCCAAAATACTATAAAAAAAATAGACCAGTTAAAAAAAAAAAAGACAACCCCCCCCCTAAATAAATTAAGCACCGACACATAAAATAAAAAAATATATCCATGTAAGCCTATCAAAGGATCTTTACATACCTTTTTTAGGGTTCCTGTGGAACTCGCTTCCCTCCTCCGTTAGATGCTCACCCAGTCTCCACTCCTTCAAAAAATCGTTAAAAACCCACTTCTTCATAAAAGCGTATCAATTAAACTGTTAATAGCTCCTGAATGATTCCTCTTCTGCACCTGTCACTAGTCTAATACTATCCTTACCTTTTTGTGTCATTTTACCCCACTCCCTCTAGCATGTAAGCTCATTGAGCAAATGGCATGTTTAAGCTCTTAAGGAGCCTTATTATAATACAGGAACCACAACAGGCTATTTACCCAGTCTAGTAACTCAAGATGAAAGTAGACATGAGGGTGTAATACTGAAAAGATTTAAACAATTATAAATACATAAAATATCATATTGACATGAAGCCAGATTGATCAGTATTGTTTTGTATTTAATACTGTGGTGTCATATTGCTGGATACCACATAATACTTTTTTTTTTTTTTAATCTCTTTAGAATGGAGTTGCTGCTGATACTGCTATCGACAGTGATGAAGATAATTATGAGCCACATAAGGCTCTGAATGTTCAAGAAGTCACAATAAAACAAGTGCACACAAGTGAAGTGAAGATCCAGATAGACTGGAACTCAGACTTACCAGTCAACGTGTCTGTTCCTAAAGTCGATATACACAGCATCATCTTTGACTTTGGTCAAATAACATTTGTTGATATAGTAGCAGTGGAAGCCCTCAAA